TTCGAGATCTTCTTCTGGAGAACATTTGTCTCAAAGAAGTTTTAGCAGTAGATGGCTTTGCAGATTGCATCAGATACTGACACTTGTAGCTAGAATGAAGTGCTAAAGCTTGTTTTTTAGCTGCCAAATATATTTGAATATAGACGTCAATCATAACAATTAAAGGTAGATAAAATGATGCAATGGATATGAATAATATACAATAAGGATGGTTCGAAACGTTACATTCGTCTAATGTCAACAACGGTTAGGGTGTGGGTGTGGGTGTGGGTGTGGGTGTGGGTGTGGATGTGTGTGTGGGGTGTGGGTGGGTGTGGGTGTGGGTGTGGGGTGTGGGTGTGGATGTGGGTGTGGATGTGGATGTGGGTGTGCGTGTTTGTCTTCTCCCCAGGAATACTCACACCCACACCCACATTCACATCCACATCCACACCCACATCCACACCCGCCCACACACCCACACCCCACCCACACCCACACCCACCCACACCCACACCCACACACCCACCCACACCCTCTCAATGTATGTGTGTGCCTTGATTAAAGCTTAATGAAATTCATCTTTTAATCACACACCCATTAAAAAAATCGATTGAATTTCTCTCCCCGTAACTTTTTTGAGGTATAAATATGAATGATTTTCTATGTAAAATCATTCAATTTATTGAATCATAAACTAATCTTTCTCTTTTATGTTTTAGTTCAATATCAACGCTACAATATGGAACGATTCAACGTCGAACAAGGCCATAAAATAAAATGTAGGTATTAGTTTTAATTTTTTTTAATTTTTAATTTTTTGTTTTTCTTTTTAAAATCATATGGAGGGGGTAAGTCCTCCTATGATCTTTCTTTATATATTGTTTTTTTTGATTTTAGGCATCGAACAGTGAAGAAAGAGATAACAGTGGAGTAAGTCATCTCGTTCTTTTCATTATATAAGATTGATTAAATTTGTTTTTCTTTTTCTTTTAGCCCTCAACATCGTCGCGTCGTCTTTATCATCGTCCAACATTAAAGCACGTGAGTAATTATTTCTTTTTTTTTTGAGATGAGAATATGGTGAGAGAGGAATGAGGTTAAATAGTGACATTGAGATTGAGTAGGGTTAGGGTGAGACTGAGAAAAGTGAGTGTTAGTAGTGGGTAAGTGAGTTATGTCCATTGAGATTAGACCTCTGTTTTCTATCAGGCCTTCCGGACTTAGGCCTAAAACACCGGCCACGAACTATCTTGGTGTCCGTGGCACACGACCGGGCTTTTCCAGACTCATTGACATATCTCGCGAGTGGGAGGGATATGAATGATATGAGTCTGTCCCGTGCGTGCATGAGCGTTACACTCGCCACGGCTCCACCAGGATGGTTCCTGGTCGCGCGCGCGAATAGAATAGACATTTTTTTCATCGATTCAATGCGATTTATTTGAGAGAAACGAAAGAAAAAAAATAATCCATCGTCTTGAGTCTATTGGATAGAAAAACGTTGGACACGGTTATTGCCCCAATCGACGACATAGAGATTGCCATGACGATCGAAGGACAAACCGACTGGACCGTTGAACTGATTTGCTCTTGCTCCTCGACCATTTTCACCCACGATGACAGTGCCCTGTTTCGCTCCTTTAGGCCAACGCATCACTCGTTGATTATACGAGTCTGCCACATAGATGGTACCAAATGTATCGACGAACAGTCCTCGAGGATACGACAATTGTGTCAGAGCATTCCCTTTGCGTTTACCTCCAGCGACGACAATTCCTTCTTTTGCATCTTTATTCCATTTCATTACACGATCATTGTCAAAGTCTGACACGTAGACAGTCTGTTGTTGATCGACAAAGATGCAGCCCAGATTGTTGAATTGATTGAGACTAGTACCGTTGCCATTGCCACCGGCCACGATAGTTCCATTCTTGTCTCCTATTTGATATCGTCTTACTTCATGTTTTTCGTCGTCAGAGATGTAGAGATATCCGTGATCATCCATGGCCAATCCCCAACACTTGATGTTGTCAATGAGGATTTCTCCTTGAGTTGTACCACTACGACGAGACCATCGTACGACTCGTTCATTCATCCGGTCACAAATAATGAGACTATTCGTCTCTTTGTCGATCAACACATCACTTGGCCGATCCAATTGATCCGATCGATTTCCTTTGCCGTTGCCACCAGCTACTACTTGTCCATTCTTATCATCCATCTTCCATTGGATGATACGATCATTGTTGTAGTCAGCGATGACGATCGTTTGATCATCATCAACGAAGAGACCAAAAGGACGGTCGAGTTTATTGATAGCACTGCCGTCTCCATGGCCTCCAGCAACAGTCATCCCATTCTGTGTCCATCGGGCATTGACTGGAATATTGGGAATTACTACAATAAACAAAAAAGAAAAGAAATCATCGTTGTCGAAGGAATCTCGTCTCTCGTGGAAGCAAGCACTAGAAATACGACATTCGTCTTTGAAAATATTCTTTTCGCAGATAAAAATTCAGAAATTTTTCCCTAGTTTCCTATAAAAAAGAAGGGTTTCGTAACGATTCTTACATCTATGTCACTTTTACTTCTTGACAAGATCTTTTTGATCGTAAAAGCAACACCTGGAGATTACTGTAAGGAGCTCCTCAAAGACAGAGTGATGCTAATTCCATCTAAGCTTTTGATAGAAAAACATAGCAGAATCTTTTTGTAGAATGATCATTTATATGAATATCAGAGAAGAATTTAAGTAATGAAATAATAAACTATGTGAAACTCTTAAACTGAGAAAATTCTGAGAAGATTCTATCTATATCTTGTTAGGAGCATGTTGAACAACAAATGTCAAACGTAATCTGTATGTTTTTGAGTAACCTTGAGGATTTAATATGCAATCTTCAAGGATGCTTTTCACATCATAGGTCAAAGTATTTGATCACATGATTTTCTGCATGATGAATGTAGATCTGCTGAAGAATGTCCTAAACATTCCCACATAGAGGATTCTAATGAAATTTGATAAGACTTAGATGTATGCGAAAATGGTCAAAGTTGAGAGGGTTCCACACGGGTCTATGTAATCTGAGGGCTTCTACTTTTGCAAATGCTGAAAAGATGGATGCCAATCCTAGCGGAGCTCTCCAGTGAAAAACAATGGGATCTATGGATTTTCTGAGTTTTGGAAAGGGCGGTGGTAACTAGAAAGTGTTCTAAAATGTTATTATTAACTTTCGATGAAAACCATCTTCAAACCATTATTTAGGGTACCAGAAGAGAATTTTGGTGACTAAATAAGATATTCTAGTAAAATCTGAAAATCTAAAAATAATGAGTATCTTATATCAGGATCATGGTATAACTCTTATGTAGTGCTTGTTCTGACGATGAAGGTGTTTGTGTTGATAAGTAAAAAGATGGGATATATTCGGGTTAAAAGAAAGATCTCATCACCAAATTAACAAGGTTAAAATATTAGCGGGTATTACCTTGCCTAGAGAGAGATATTCGATTTTTACTGTATTTACAGTATATGTAGGATGTCAACAATTGAAAATTTCAGTAGAATTTATTTTTCCTTTTTCATGACGGTTGGATAGAGCTCGTCGAGTTGCATTAGAAAAAGTATGTTTCAAATGTTAAAAAAAGATTTTAAAAAAGTTTTAGATGAAGACTCCAAGCTGCGGTGATTTTCCAATATAAGGAAAATTAGACCCAAAATTCCCATACTTCGGAAAGTTTTTTTAAAATCTCTTTTTAAAAATTTTCAATATACTTTTTCTAATGCGACTCGACGAGCTCTATCCAACCGTTATGAAAAATGAAAAATAAATTCTACTGAAATTTACAATTGTAGACATCCTACTTGTACTGTAAATACAGTAAAAATCGAATATCTCTCTCTAGGCAAGCCAATGGCCGTTAATATATTAACCTTGTTAATTTGGTGATGAGAACTTTCTTTTGATCCGAGTATGTCCCATCTTTTTACTTATGAACACAAACACCTCCATTGTAAGAAGCCTTCTTTGAGCTCGCATGTCATGGATATGTTCACAAGGATCTGAAGAGCAAGTATTTTGGAATGGTTGATATCAGAGATGGGCAATCCGAACTCCAAAGTTGACACTTTTTCTCAGCAGAATGAGAGTGGAGGTGCCTGTCTCTGAATTTTATGAGAAAGTTTATAAAGTAATAAATTAATGTGCTACTAATTGATATCAATTGTAGATTTAATTATGTTAAAAAACTTATGTGTATTTAAGAGTGTTTTGGTAGAAGTTCAGTTTTCTGAAATTCGACTGGAATTGAAGTTAAATCGGAGTTGGAGTAGGATTTTAGAAAAAAAGGAGTGGAGTGATATGAGGTTGGAGTGAAACACACTGTAGTTGAAATTGATGTGGAGTTTTAGAAAATAGGACTGGAGTTATGTGGAGTTGGAGCAGGATATAGTGTAGTTGCCCATCTCTAGTTAGTACACAAATGTCGATCGTAATCAGTACCCATCGCTCCTTTTCTGGAACATTAGGAATTACTACAATGAATGAAAAAGAAAAGGGATGATCATTGTCGAAGAGATTTCAAGAATGTTCTTTTTGCAGATAAAAATTCAGTAGGCTTTTACTAATTTCGTATAAAATAAAAGGATTTCATAACGATTTTCACGTCGATGTCACTTCTAGTACTTGTCCAGATCTTTTAAATGATAACAAGTAGAGTCTTCACGGTGGATAAAAACTGCACATGGAAATAGTTGTAAGGAAGTTTTCCGAGAAAGAGCAATGAACATGGCCACGCATCGGTCACCCATGCATGGGGGGAAGTTCGAATTCAAAAATCAAGAAAACTAAATCTGTCAACTGAAAGGGTGCTAACGATAGTATATATGGCAGATGTCACTACCTATCCTGTACGCAGTTATGAAGTGATGATAATATCATCTTTTGATGAAATTTCGTAAGAAAAACTACTTATAATGTATTTTACTTGCTTATATGGCGAATTAATTTTAAAAAAAACTTCATAATCAGATAGATCTTTTCAAAAGCTATCGAATGCACTGATTTTTTTTATTAGCCTTTAGTTGTATTTTTGTGCATTTTTTTAAAAAACATACTTCGTTACGGAATTTCATCAGAAGAAAAAATATACATGTGAGAGAATCTTAACTTTTTTGTACAATTATATTTTTTTTCCTTTTGTTTCTTATTAAAAGATCCATTTCAACATGAAGGATATGGACGTGCATCTACATACACAAATCTCTGTCGCTTAATTTTGATTAAACATTCTGCAACCGTCAGAGAAAGACTAGTGTAAAGTACAGATCACATTGTTCATTCATTTTACTGTCAATGAATAAAAGAAATACGAGAAAATAACCCATGAGAAAAAACGGTTAAAAATCCGATTGAAAATCAATTGCAAAGGCACTGTTTTAATCTGACTTTAACTCGATTTTTAAGCCTTAAAGACGGATTTCATTTGATTTCAACATTTGTTAATCTATTTTAATTGGTTAACAAATTTTAATTAATTAAAATCAATTTCTAATAATCACTTGTAATTAATTTTATTTTAATAATCCATTAAAAGAGATAGAAAGCAAAGTTAAAATCAAATGAAATCTGTCTTTAAATGTGAAGACTCTGATTAAAATCACATTATAATAGTACCGTTTTAATTGATTTTCAATCTGATTTTTAATCTTTTTTTCTTAGCTGGAAGTTGGTCCGTTGAGCTGATCAATAAAAAAAGCAAAGCTTGCTTCACATAATTGATAAAGTTTTACTAATATTAGTAGATACGTAAAATATCATTGAAATAGAAAGTATCTGAAATCCGGAAAAAATCCAGAAGATCTGGCAACACTGATCCAGTAGCTTACCAACTCATAGAGATACAGACGTCAAATATTAAAAATATACATTTTTGCAAAGAGTCATCGTACAAAAAAAAAGATTTTCTAAGGAAGAAAAGAAAGAAGTTGAAAAATAATAACCTTGTTTTATTCAATATCGGACGAACTATTCAAATACATAAATCGTTGATACCATTGTTATCTCTTTCTTGCTCATCCATGACCAAAACACTGTTACAAACACTTTGTCTCTTTTATGTAGAGAAACACAAAACCTTTCCTAGCAGACGAAGAAACCCACTCAAAGGAAAGTTTTGTTCAAGTAATCAAATGGGTAAAAAAAAAAGTTTCAATCTTCTCGTTATTAGTTTCGAGAAAAGTAAGCCAACTTTTTCAAAAATCGCTTTTTCACTCACTTCGTAAAGAAACGTTTTGAAAATTATTTTAGATTTATCTTCAAACAGATTGAACCAATCTCGCTGAAATTGATACATAAAAGAGAGCATAAAAAGTTGTACATACAATAAAAATTTCAGAGTGATTAATGTATCTTTCCTAAAAATTTTCACATTATACGACGAACTGTAGAGAAACACTTTTTGCGAGTTTTTCGACCTCGCGTGACTCAAATAGGCATTTGAGACAAGCGTCATGAATTACGATATTATGTTATTGGTTGAATACAAACAACCAATACTCATTATCTCCTAATTGATGACCTATTCATTCCAGGTTATTGAAGTACCCGTGCTAAGCAGAGAAAAGAGTTGTGATGAAAATAAAACGAAAACCTATTAATAATGCTAATATTATAACTATCTCAACAAATATGGATCCAGAGATATCTCGGCCTCTTGACGCATGGTAGCTGGAAAATTTTCATCTCATACTAAGCAAATGATAATGAATAAGATGCACAACTTGAATTTCTCGTTAGTGCACTTTCATTTTTTTTTGCCAATTGTACAACAAAAATACGATTCACTCATATTAGTTTCGATCTCTATTTGGAATTTATTTAGGATTTATAAATAGTACTACAGTAAAAAAAAAACTGAAATATTTTCACTTTGGTTCACTCGAATGGGCTGATTGTTTAGTTTGTCATAGAAGCTTATTTAAAGTTTTCGTTTTTTGTTTTTGATAAAGATAATAGAAACAAATAGTATTGTTAAGTTATACTTTTTGATATGATGGAAAAAGAAAGAAAGGAAAAATGTCGAAAAGAAAAAATCTCAGATTAAAAAAACAATCATAACATCCATAGAGCATTTATTGAGTAAAGAAAACGAATTGAAGAATTCATAAGATACATCTAGACAAAATGTCACTAACCATAGGGATGATGATGATTCGATTTTATAAGCAATATTCTTAGCAATAACTTAGATAACCCATCGATAAGTTCTCATTCGCATCAATATCACTATTTTCGTAAAGTTAACTATAGAAATTGTACCTATTGTTAAGTAAGAAAAATACATATGAAGCGTTCCATAGATAATTGTCATTTGTTATCGAACAGAATAATAAGAAGAAATGAAAACGAACTATATAGATACATACAGAGCAATTTTTCAAAACAAATAGTAATCGGTTTAAATGTCTGAATATTTCTGTCTCATAAGTAAAACGTATTGTTACCTTGCAAAAAAACTAATGTTTCATGTTTTGAAAATTTGAAATTAGTTCGAAAAAATTTGCTCTATTCACATCAATATGGGGTATCATTCATAAAGTTCGGTTTAATTTTGTTCTTTTTATTCTATTAGATAACAACTGAAAATTATCTATGAAATGCTTCACATCTATTTTTCTTACTTGAGAACAGGTGAAATTATTTTTCATGATACCAACAATAATACTTCATAGTAGTGTTTGCTTACTTTATCTGTACGGGAAAAACACTTAACTAAACTTTTATCGCTAACTACAAAATCATCTCGTTTCATTGAACCGACACAGAGATATTTCATTTTTTTTTAACGTATTGCTATTTATAGTCTACCTTGTATATATATCAAATTAAAAAACTCAAAAGAATTTAAATTTTAATATAGCTTTCTTTGTCAACAAAATTCAACTATAATAAGTCATTTTTTTACAAGATGGTAACAAGATTGATATAACTAAAACTTCATCTAAATTATATTTCAAGTAATGCAGTTCTATGGAATATGTTATTGTTCTCTCTATGGATGTATTCAATTAAAAAAAAACCGAATGTTTACTAACATGTAAAGATATACAATAAAAATGATTCTATGTTTACGAGGCTCATTGAACTATTACACGTTCTATATATGAAGATTGTTTCAAAGATTTTTTTGCCATTTTAAATATTTTTTTTTCTATTCTGCCGAATATATAAAAGTTGAAGAGACATACAATATATATATATATATATATGTATATAATGGTAATGTCTGGACTATGATCAAAAATTCACTATATTCTCAATTGACATCATTATTAAGAAAATACATTCTTAGAAAAGATATGAAAATTTTTTTAGTAAATTCATTTTCTATTCGTTACTTTTTTGTTAGGATGAGAAAATCACAATGATTCATTTTTATCCTTTTGTGTTCTTATGGAAGTCTAAAGCTAAAATAAGAGTTTAGACGTTGTTTGTGTTTTACATGGCTAAAATAAAAATATAATGACAAATAAATTTCATAAAATTTATTTTTAATACTTTTACTAATAATCTACCCTCGTAATATAGATATCAGTTGAGTACAATAAATTTTGAACAATAACTTACATATGATATTTAAACAGAATATTGTTGTATATCTGTTCTACTTAATATAGTTGGCAAATACAAGAACAAAGCCAAAATGGCTTCGAAACATATGAAATATAGCTATTCGCTTCTTTCTTCTGTGTTGATGTGAATAGAAAAACGAAAAAAAAGAAAAAAACCTATTTTGCTCTAGACAATAAATAGAAAGATGAAACATCTACCATCTTTATTAATTCTTGACGGACAATAAATTACTCAAGAAAAAACTCGTTATCACATACTACGCATGAAAGAGAAAAAATGACATTATTTATACAAAGAATCGATGATGAAATCAACAATTCACCAAAAACGAATTAGAATATTAATAGAAATAATATGGAGATAAACAAAATAGAACTGAAGAAAAACATGCACATTTCAACATGTAAATAAATGATGCAACCGTTAAAATAAACTTTTTACAAACTTTAAGTAGTCCATATACTAAATTATTCTAAAGAGATAAGGACTCACCACAACTTAAAGCACACTGGCACTTGAGATCGAACAAAACTCATAAAAAAGGGTTTAGAATTTCAATGTATTCATTGATTGGGAAAAGAAAGAGTAACAAATCATATGACTGTCTCAGCTTTGCTACATAATTTATTTATTTGTCTACTTCTGAGCAAAATCAGTGGATGCAGAGAGAAACACAAAGATTTCTCCTATCATCATCATCATGATAAATAGAAAGATGTCTTAACATTAACAAACGAGGGAAAAAACATACTCTTATATGATTCAATCGATTCTATTCAGTTAGCATCCTTTATTCATTTGCAAGGTGATGAAAAAAAAACAAACATTAGTTAATTTTCTATTTTTAAAAATACTTATCCATACAGATATGAAAACAGCAATAATTTTCGATAGTTTTAAGAAAAGTTGATCGTCAAATAAATCGGCAATAGATTCTTAACATAATAAGAATAAAAGATCATAACAAGTATTAGAAATATGAAAGAAAAAAATACAGTGATAACTATGCTATATCGCAAATAGATCAAAATCACATTTTGAATTTTGAGAAAAAGTAATAAATGAACAAAGTAAACAAATAGATAATAGAAAGAGGTATCAACTCGCACATATGTGAAGAGAAAAAAGTAGCCGCATGTCTTTAAGAATATCCTTTTTTCTTTTAATGATTGTTCAAAAATTGACTTGTCATTCTGATTAAAAAAATCAGAGTAGTCTATAAATAATAATTTTCATGTCAGATGTGTTCATATGAATACAAGTAATTGGAATAAAGATTCTACATCTAAACACGTTCAATTGCTTTAAAAAGAACGAGAAAATACGAGTAAAACTATGTTTTCTTTACGAATATTTCGGCGTTAATATGTGTTTTAGCCTTTCAACACGGTAACAGTCGTGAAATTTGCGCTGAAAACAAATAAAAACACTTAATGTAACGTGTTAAAGAAATCGTTAGAACGCTGTTTTTAAATTATTTCAATATCTTATGTATTTTTAGTGAGTCATTACTAAAGATCCTCTAGGACACGAGTCAATATGTTTCTGCATGCGTCAAGTACCTTTAGTTGATTTATATGTAGTAAGTGATATACATGAAGCGCATATAACAATCAAAATTTTCTCTAGGCCTATTCTAGCGGTTCTTCTAAATGATCAACTAATTAGTTTTTGACTAATCCTATATCATTCGACAGTGGAATGTTTACTCTTTACCGGAAATTAAAAAGAAGCTCTTTGCGATCTTGATAGCTAAAACTATGAATAAAATGCTTCAAAAAAAGTTTCTGGCAGAATTGAGACACCAGACTTTAAGATTGTCTGAATTCAGATAGGGAAGAAAGGGACGAGACCTTTAGAATTTAGTGCGTTTTTATAGTATCTGAAGTCAAATGTTTTATTAAATTGAAATAAAGCATCTTTGCTTGAAAAGCAACATATATAGTGGCATCAACCGAAGAGAAAGGATGGATTTTGTTTTGTAGATATCAACAATACAAAGTAAAATTCAATAGTGACGAAAAATGATCAACATGGGGATTATTATGAATTGATTTTTTCCTATGATAAAGATTCAATCGCTCATAATATGAGATTCCTGATCTTATCAATATCACGTTCAGCTAATTGCAGAGTAATATTGTATACAAAGGAACTATATATACTTCATTAGAAATTAGCGATGGTCAAGATCAAGAAGTGTTAATATGATGCTTACTTAGTTGCTGAGTAGTTCTTGCAGTTGTCGTTGTAGTTGGCATTGAAGTTGTTGTTGAAGCGTTGGTCGCTATTCATCATTATAGAAAAATTTATATAAAAAAACCAGATAGTTTAGGTCTGACATAGAGTGCAATATAGAACTTGAAGCACCTAAGCTTTAGATGAAGTCTAAACAGTGTTTCAAAGTAGAAAAACGACCTCAAACGGTCTCCTTATCGAAGTTTTTCTTTCAAAAACTGATGTTTGATGGAAGACCACTATGTTCATCAGAAACCGAAGCCAAGTAAAACTGTCGACGATTCGATTCGGTATGATTCGATTAAATCAAATCGAATTGAATTGGACTGTTCGAGTCTGCTTTCTTGATTTTGTGCACTCTTAGAAATAAATCAAAGACTTATGAGACAAACAAGCTCATCTCATCTAGAGCATTATAGATTATTTGTTTGATCCGTAGAGCTCTTGCGGAAACTCGTCAAAAGCAATTAAAATTAGGTGAACCTAGCTGAGAAATGGCTGATGCAAGCGTTTTCGAGACTAAAGTGAAAGCTTATTCTATTCAAATTCGTTGCTTCTGTTCTATTTTGAATACGAGCAGCGATTTATGTGCACTAGCTGTTGTGGCAGTACAAGATCATTATCCGAAGTATTAAGGATGTGATTTTAACCTTTCAAACAAAGTGTTCATCTGCTACTGTGTTAATCTCAGCTCATTAGAATATTCTATCGTCAAATCAACACTATGAGTGAATTGAATTTAAAAGGGTATTCGAAAAAACAGAATAATATTGTAGACATAAACTGTTACGAACTGGCTCGGTCTCTCGTCATCAGACAGTTTGAATTTTTATATTGTTTTCTTATGCAATAAATCTCGAAAATTTCTCATACTCAGG